TTGAGACAACTATCAGGCCTCAGGTTTGCTCAAAGGGTGCCAGTAGCGGGCAAGGAGAATGGCAGATTTCAATCAAGGGTTTAGGGTTTTATGCGTTTAGATCTTGAACTTGGAGCTGTGAGAGTCTCCGCCAAAGTTCATTCAACGAAAGCCCAGGATGCGGAAGGACAGCCTGGACCCAGAGCTGCAAAGATAGTCCCAGAGGTCAGGCACAGGGTAAGGAACTGCGACATCCCTAGTCAAAGCAAAGATTTATGTTCTGAAATATTCCGTCCGCTCTTCATAACTTGGGCTGTGTGCCTGCCTCCATACTGCACTTTGGCACAATGCCTTCCTAGTAAAGCTTCTGAGGAGGAAGAAGTTTCCCCACACAGTTCGTAGAAAAGAGTCCAATAAGCGGTGCTATGCTACATAAGCTGTAAGTTTTTTTCAGGCCACGGGCTGCGCAAAAGGATCAACATCCTGTGGCTTGCGCATTCCTCGATCCTCAGAAGTGTTCGTTAGTGATCCCGGAGGTACCACCACGTCTACTACCGGCGGCGCGATCTCTGCAACCAAGAATCCCATTATCCACATGTACCAGGTGGTTCGACATGCCCCCCCCACAAGTCAAAGCCTCAGCATTTCAGGGTAATTCCACCTACGCAGCCCCTTCGAATCATCCGTGTTCACGGAAGCGCCCGGGAGCTGGATCGGAGGCCCTGCAGCTCCCTCGAGAAGAAACTTGCTGAATTGCCCTGGGCCCTTGGCGCCCTTAAGCCGAAAGTTCAAGGCAAGACGAAGGCCACAGCTCACGACGGTGAAAGGCTGGAGGCTTTATCAAAAACTGCTGCGTGCTGCAAAGCGCTTCTCAAAAGTGTCGGGCCGCAACTACCTGGCAGCTATTTGAAGAAGATGGAACATCAAGTAAAGCTGATACAACAACGGCCCTGCACACCACGCGACAAACCTGTCCAATCAATCTCCAGCAGCACCCGCTACTGGAAAAATCATGAGGAGCTGGGCTTGAATGAATACCTGCTGTGCCGCTATAGCGCACCAGGGAACAAGCGGCCGTGCCGGTTGCCCAAAGGTCGGTCCATATCCGTCATGCGCAAAACCAGTTTTCAAACCGGACTGATACCCGCCAGCCCTGGCGAGTAATCAGAATGAGCGCAGCTTCATGCCTGCATAAGCCTGCTGCGGTGCCGCGACATGACCATTCATACATGACCGAGCCACATGGACCTTATGTCCTTCGGACATCTGCACCTTTGCATGCTCATCAGATCTTCGTACTCCCCGCAATTGGCTTACTCGCAAGGGCTCGCGCCACACTGCTGCTTCGGGAAGCACCAGCGGAGACAAGTCTACAAAGTGCGCCACTCAGCCGCCAAGAAGGATGCCACCTGCGTACGTCTTATTGCCGTAATGCTAGACTTTGTAGTATTTTTCTATAATATAGTGTCTATATATATATATATATATATATGTATGTGTGTATCCGCCGACCCTGGCGGTGTGTTGGATGGGTCTCGATTCGATGGG